AGAGATGGGGTTTCACCATGTTGACCAGGATGGTCTCGATCTCTTGACCTTGTGATCCACCCGCCTCGGCCTCCCAAAGTGCTGGGATTACAGGCTTGAGCCACCGCGCCCGGCTGTTATTTGTTTTGAGGCAGAGTCTCACTCTGTCACCCAGGCTGGAGTGCAATGGTGTGATCTTGGCTCACTGCAACCTCCGCCTCCTGGGTTCAGGCGATTCTTCTGCCTCAGCCTCCCGAGTAGCTGGGACTACAGGTGCGTGCCCCAAGGCCTGGCTAATTTGTGTGTGTGTGTTTTTCGTACAGACAGGGTTTCACCATCTTGACCAGAATGGTCTTGAACTCTTGACCTCGTGATCTGCCTGCCTCGGCCTCCCAAAGTGCTGGGATTACAGGCGTGAGCCACCATGCCCGGCCGTTTATTTTTATTTATTAGAAACAGAGTTTATTAGAGACAAGGTCTATATTTTTATTTATTATGGACAGGGTGTCCCTCTGTCACCCAGGCCGGAATGCAGAGGCACGATCAGAGCTCACTGGAGCCTTGACCTCCTGGGCTCAAGCCATCCACTTACCTCAGCTTCCTGAGTAGCTGGGACTACAGGTGCACACTACCACACCCAGCTAACTCTTCACATATTTTTGTACAGAGGGGGTCTTGCTATGTTGCCCAGGGTGGTCTTGAACTCAGGGGCTCAGGCAATCCTCCTGTCTCAGCCTCCCCAAGTCTTGGGATTACAGATGTGAGCCACTGCACCCAGCTATGTTTACAGGTCTTTATACACAGACAACAGCCAAATGTTTTGTTAAATGCTCTATCCACTAAGCTTATGTCAAAAAACCTAAACCAGGCAGGCCACGGTGGCTCATGCCTGTAATCCCAGCACTTTGGGAGGCCAATGCAGATGGATCACGACTTCAGGAGTTCAAGACTAGCCTGCCCAAAATGGTGAAACCCCGTCTCTATTGAAAAAAAAAAAAAAAAATTAGCCGGGCATGGTGGTAGACGCCTGTAATCCCAGCTATGCGGGAGGCTGAGGCAGAAAACTGCTTGAACCCGGGAGGCAGAGGCTGCAGTGAGCTGAAATAGTGCCACTGCACTCCAGCCTGGGCGAGAGTGAGGGTCTGTCTAAAAAAAAAAAAAAAACCCCAAAATGAAAACCAACTATTTCAGAGCCCTTAAATATCAGCCACAAATTTGACTGACTTTTCATAAACATTAATTCTAATTACATACCTATTGTGGCAAATTATTGCGAATAATTCCAATACCAGAAAACGGCAGATGAAAAAACACAAAGATGACATTAGCAAGACTTACGGCATGTAATCCCAGCACTTTAGGAGGCCAAGGTAGGCGGCTCACTTGAGGCCAGGAGTTCAAGACCTGCCTGGCCAAGATGAAGAAACCCATCTCTACTAAAACTACAAAAATTAGCCGGTTGTGGCGACACGCGCCTGTAATCCCAGCTACTCGGGACACGGAGGCTGAAGAATCGCTTGATCTCAGGAGGCAGAGGCTGCAGTGAGCTGAGTTTGAGCCACTGCACCTTAGCCTGACAACAGAGCAACACTTCGTCTTAAAAAAAGAAAAAGAGCCGGGTGCAGTGGCTCACGCCTGTAATCCTAGCACTTTGGGAGACCGAGGTGGGTGGATCACCTGAGGTCAGGAGTTCAAGACCAGCCTGGACATCATGGTGAAACCTCATCTTGTAAAAAAAAAAAAAAAAAAAAATTAAAAATTAAAAAAAAAACCAACCCAAATGCCCATCGATGATAGACTGGATAGGGAAAATGTGGCACATATACACCACGGAATATTATGCAGCCATCAAAAACGATAAGTTTGGGTCCTTTGTATGGACATGGATGAACCTGGAAACCATCATTCTCAGCAAACTGACAGAAGACCAGAAGATCAAACACCGCATGTTCTCACTCATAGGCGGGTGTTGAACAATGAGAACACATGGACACAGGGAGGGGAGCACTACACACTGGGGTCAGTTGGGGGGAAATAGGGGAGGGATGGTGGGGGGTGGGGAGCTGGGGAGAGATAGCAAGGGGAGAAATGCCAGATGTAGGTGATGGGGAGGAAGGCAGCAAATCACACTGCCACGTGTGTACCTATGCAACAATTTTGCATGTTCTTATGTACCCCAAAACCTAAAATGCAATAAAATAAATAAATGGGGGAAAAAAAAAAAGAACGAACGAACGAACAGATGAGTGAACTTGGCCCAGTGTGCGGCAAGACTGGCCTGAGTGTCACAGCCTCGAAGGGGCTGGGTCAGGACTGGGGCTCTGGTCTGGGAAGCTGTCCCTGTCACCATGCTGATTTCTCTGTACTGGAGGCGGCTCAAAGCAAATCCCAAGTGCTCCATCTCCAGAAGAAAAGGACCGTGGCCGTGGGGAAGCTGAGATTCAGGTACCAGGAGTCAGCTGTGACTCCTGCCACCTGACTCCGAGTCTTCATCCCTCCCACAGCCCACCTCCATAGCAAATGTTATCCCCTCTACTTCCAGAATCCGTCTGAAATCTAGGCACTTTCCCTGCTGTGGGTGCCTACAGCCTCGCTCTCATCGAGGTTGCCATCATCAACTGTCCGGACAACTGTGCCGCCCTCCCCTGCTGCCGCTCCTGCCTACCCCTCTCCACCCCTTCTCCACCTCAAAGCCAGAAAGCTTGCAGAGAAGTCAATCCAGTCCGCGTCACTCCGCTGCCCAAATTCCTCTCAGGCCTCCCCACCTCCCTCCGACTACTGACTAACATCTAATGTGCTGAGCATACAGGAGTCAGTATGATCTGGTCTCTCGTTACCTCCGGGCTGTCCCTTGAACCACCCGGTCCCCTGTATGAAACGCCTCTCGCCTTCCTTCCGCTGCCTGGTTAATTTCGACTCGTGGTCAGCTGATCACTTCTCCAGGAAGCCCTCCCCAAGTACGTCGGGGGTCTGTCAGCTCCCCGGGATCTCCAACCCTCGGGATCTCCAACTCCTCGGTGAAGTAGGAGCCGGATCCCAAGCGCTGCTGCCGCAGCGACCCTACCTGCGCTCCCGGCTCCGCCGCCTCCGTCTGTGCCGTCCCTCATCCTCCCGGCGCCGCCGGTTTCGCCGCCCATGGCTCCTGCTCCGACTTCGGCTACCGCTCTGGCTCCGCTGCCTCCGGCCTCGGCGACCCGCGGACCGGGAGCGCGAGCGCGTATCCCGACCCATCAGCTGGGCCGGTGGCCGCGGCGCCGACACGAATAGCCGGGTCCTGCGTCGGGGGCCTTCCTTGCTCGCGGCGCGTTACGGGCTGCCCCATCTGTGCCTGAGCCGGGAGAGAACAATTCTTCCGGCCGTCCCAGGCCGCGAGGACTCCGATCCCCTAGATTCTCCCCTCTGTCTGCAAATATGGGTCGCGTGGTGGACTCCGTTGGGATTGTCCACCTCCAGGGTCGGGGAGTCTCCCTTCAGGCAATGCTGGAGGCAGCCTCAGGCAGGTCCTCGCGCCTCAGGGGTCGGAGGGACTGTGGGCGGGGCAAGAGCAAATTAGGAAATTTGTGAGGGGCGGAGCCTGCGGAGATGGGACCTATAAGAGGAGGGTCTAGGACGGAAGTGGCGCTTCATGGGCGTGGCCAAAGAGAGGCGTGGCTAGGGAGAGGCGTGGCCAAGGAGAGGCGTGGCCGTGAAGCAAGGTCCCTGAAAGGCGAGGAGCCAGGAATGTCTTAGGGTCCAGGCAGCTCCAAAAAGGAGAGGGTGGACGCAGGGACCGAAACAAAGCCTTCCTATGAGAGTCATCGTTATGCTCCACCACTTGCCAATGAACACCTGTGATTTTGGGAGTTAAGCTTTTTTTTTTTTTTTTTAAAGATGTAGTCTTGGTCTGTTGCCCAGGCTTGTGTGCAGTGGCTAGATCTCGGCTCACTGCAACCTCCGCCTCCTGGGTTCAAGCGATTCTCCTGCCTCAGCCTCCTGAGTAGCTGGGATTGCAGGCGCGCGCCACCACGCCTCACTAATTTTTTGTATTTTTAGTAGAGACGGGGTTTCATCATGTTGTCCATGCTGGTCTTGAACTCCTGATCTCAGGTGATCCACCCGCCTTGACCTCCCAAAGTTCAGGGATTACAGGCGTGAGCCATCGTGCCCGGCCGGGAGTTAAAATTAAAAAACAAAAGAAACAAAAACTTGGATTACTCCCTGTATTCCCCCATCAACCCATTTTAGAGGAAGCTGAGGCTCAGAGAAGGAAAGTCACTTTTGACACCTGCCTTCTCAACCCAGGCTGCCCAGCTTTGCGGTGTGGGTGCTGGGGACCTGTGGGAGGGTTTTGAGCAGGGAATGGGGGACTTACTGCTCAAATACGTTTGGCATGGGGAAGAGAGGCTTCAGGGGCAAGGCTGGAGGCCAGCGCCCTGGAAGACGCTGATGTCCCATTCTGAGCTTCTCCAGCCCATGGTTGATGCTACCACCACCCCTTGCAGTTCTAACCGGTTGGGGCTGGGAGGGACTGTTTTTGGGGGATGAAAAAAATTTAAGCTAACCTTTAAAATGTTTATCTTGGGGGCCGGGCGCGGTGGCTCAAGCCTGTAATCCCAGCACTTTGGGAGGCCGAGGCGGGTGGATCACGAGGTCAAGAGATCGAGACCATCCTGGTCAACATGGTGAAACCCCGTCTCTACTAAAACTACAAAAAATTAGCTGGGCATGCTGGTGCGTGCCTGTAATCCCAGCTACTCAGGAGGCTGAGGCAGGAGAATTGCCTGAACCCAGGAGGCGGAGGTTGCGGTGAGCCGAGATCGCGCCATTGCACTCCAGCCTGGGTAACATGAGTGAAACTCCGTCTCAAAAAAAAAAAAAAAAAATGTTTATCTTGGCCATAGTGGCTCATGCCTGTAATCCCAGCATTTTGGGAGGCTGAGGTGGGCGGATCACGAGGTCAGGAGATTAAGACCATCCTGGCCAACATAGTGAAACCCTGTCTCTATTAAAAATACAAAAATTAGCTGGGCGTGGTGGTGAATGTCTGTAATCCCAGCTACTTGAGAGGCTGAGGCAGAAGAATCCCTTGAATCTGGGAGACAGAGGTTGCACTGAGCCAAGATTGTGCCACCGCACTCCAGCATGGTGACAGAGCGAGACTCTGTCTCAAAAAAAAAATGTACCTTGAGTTGGGCGCAGTGACTCATGCCTGTAATCCCAGCATTTTGGGAGGCCGAGGCGGGTGGATCACTTATCAGGAGTGTGAGACCAGCTTGGCCACCATCTCTACTAAAAACACAAGAATTAGCCGGGCATGGTGGTGCGCTTTTAATTCCAGATACTCGGGAGGCTGAGGCAGAAGAATCGGGAGGCGGAGGTTGCTGTGAGCTGAGATCACACCAATGCACTCCAGCCTGAGCAAAACAGCAAGCCTCTGTCTCAAAAAAATAAATAGGTGAGGTGTTGTGGCTCACACCTGCAATCCCAGCACTTTCGGAGTCCGAGCTGGGTGGATCACCTGAGGTCAGGAGTTCGAGACCAGCCTGGTCAACATGGCGAAACCCCATCTCTACTAAAAATACAAAATTCAGCCAGATGTAGTAATGGGCACCTGTAATCTCAGCTACTCAGAGGCTGAGGCAGAAGAACTGCTTGAACCTGGGAGGTGGAGGTTGTACTGAGCCAAGAACATACCATTGCATTCCAGCCTGGGCGACAGAGACTCCCATCTCAAAAACAAAACAAAAACACCCCAAAGACTAGATCACCTCTATGTTCAGTTTATAAAACAGCTGTGCTGAAAACTGTGTTGTTCCCAAGGGCTCCCTTATAGATAGGATCTCACTTTTTCTTTTTTTTGAGAGTCTTGCTCTATTGCCCAGGCTGGAGTGCAGTGGCACGATCTCAGCTAACTGCAGACTCTGCCTCCCAGGTTCAAGCAATTCTCTGGCCTGAGCCTCCTGAGCAGCTGGGATTATAGGCGTGAGCAACCACGCCTGGCCAGGATCTTACTTTCCATGTAGTTTCTCAACGTGGGAGTCCAAGAGAAATGTTTTCAAGGGGTCCAAACGTGACTGAATTTGAACTGCTCTAGCAGAGCAAATACAAACTTTGGGGGGCTGCAGTGACGGCGGAAGCATAAAATGTTTTCTGAGCTGAGCTGGGACCTGAAGGAGGTTCACAGTCGTGACAGTCTTTGGGTCCTATTACCGGCATTGGCATCAATCTCACAAAGGTTGCTTTTCTGAGATTCAAAGTCAGTCCCCAGGCTGGGTGCGGTGGCTCACGCCTGTAATCCCAGCACCTGGGAGGCTGAGTCAGGCAAGTCCTTTGAGGTCAGGAGTTTGAGACAACATAGTGAAACTATGTCTCTACTAAAAATACCAAAAAATTAGCCAGGTGTGGTGGCGGGTGCCTGTAATCCCAGCTACTGGGGAAGCTGAGGCAGAATGGCTTGAACTTGGGAGACAGAGGTTGCACTCAGCTGAGATCTCACCACTACACTAGAGCCTGGGCGACAGAATGAAACTCCATCTCAAACAAACAAACAAACAAACAAAAAAACCCAGAAAACAAAAAAACACAAAACAAAATCCGTCCTCAGACTCCCAACCAGACCTCCAGAACCCACAGAGGCAGACAAGTGAGCGGATGCTTATTACCCGATTTATTAGAGATCTCTTTGACATAAAAAGAGGGGGTGTGGCAGGGATGGGTGGGCGGGGGACCTGGGCTGCATACCAGTGTTGTCTGGGGCCAGGAGTGGCTGTATGGTTTCAGAGGCGCCCACGGCTCTGGGTTTGAGGGACACAGCACCCTCGTCTCTGCCACGAGGCGCAGCGCTTCGGATTGTCACGCACCAGACCACGGGGCGGAGCAATGGAGTGGAACCCCGGGGCAGTTAAGACACACGAGGTTTGCAGTTTCATTTTGTTTCGGAATCAGTTCGGCCATAAAAATGGGACTGGGGTGGGAACAGGCGGAGCGACTGAGCCGCCAGAGGAGAGGAGGAGGTGGCGGGCACCTGTCCTGGGGTGGGGACTGAGGGGCTGTGGAGACAGTACCATGGTGAAGGACCCCACGGCCATGGGAGTATTGCACTGAGCCAGGTGTCAGGGGAACGGGGACATGTTGGGATGGCTGAGGGGGACGGAGCCTGGCAGGGGACACGTGGAAGTTTCCACCTTGTCAGTCTCAGAGGAAACACCTTTTAGTCTTTACAGTACAGGAATTTGGACACTGTCCACATTCTCAGTGGACAGCAGCCCTTAGAGGTGAGCCAGGAGGGGAAGTGGGCATTGGTCACCAAGGTATTTACAAACTTCCATCGTGGGGGGCAGCGGAGTGGGTCCAGGGCCTCCCTCGCCACCGGGGTCTGGGGGAGGCCGAGTTCGCTAAACGTTATAAATAGGTCTTGCTGTCCTCCCGCCCCACCCCCCGGCACAGTCAGCGGAGCACGTCAGCCTCGGTTTACAGTTCTCTGAGAAGGAACCAAAAAACGCAACCAACACAAAGTCAATCTCCAAAGGAGCCTTGGAGACAACACAAAAATAGAAATGTCAAGATATCCACAGAGGTTTGCAAATTTCTCCTGCAAGTGAGCGTCGGCCGGGCACTGGTGTCACGTGACTCACTCAGCAGAGGGAGGCCACCCTGGACGCGGTGCTGCCCGCCCGGGGCCACACCTGCTCTTGAGTCACCCCCACAGGCACCTGACGTCTCTGGTGCCAGGGCTCTGGGCAGGGGGACTTGAGGACTCCCTGGGAGGCTCAGTGTGACCTCTGGGGGTGCGGGCCTTTGAGATGATGACGCCCATCCCTCTTGGTCATCCAGGTCCCAGACACCCCTTCTGACCTATGCCCCCACCTCCCTGGGGTGCCCACCGCGTGTCCTTTGGAGGGATAAGGCGGGGGCTGATTGGTGGGTGGCTGGTACCAGCAGATGGGCACCAAGCTGTGAACTGGGGCCAAGGTCACTTCCCAGGGCTGGACAGACCCTCTGAACAGGCAGGGAGGACCCCACATGGGCTTGTCCTGATGGGTGCTGGGAGCCATGCGGGTAGCTGGTTCCCGTGGAGGGTCGTCCCCTCTCCTGGGCAGAGACTCAAGGGGTGGCTTGCGTGGAGTGTGCCCTCACTGGCGGCCTTGGGGAGGGGCCGGCTTCTCTGCAGGCCCAGTGCGTGGGCTTCGAGGGAGGCCGACGGGACGTGAACAGCAGGTGGCACCGTGTCGCACGGAGCTTGCCACAGACAAAACACAGACCCTCCTGCCTGGGAGGTTCTCTGGCCACCTCAGACCCCACACCCGGCTCTGCCAGGGTGGGAGAAGCATTCTTCCTGAAGGTGCGGCTTCTGCTCTGGGCCACCCCAGCTCCTCCCATCCTGGACACATCTCAGCAGTGGGGAATCCCCACGCCCATCACCAACAAGCCCCTCTCAAGGGTCCTGGGGAAGGGCAGGGCGGGTGACTGCCCAGCTCTCGGCTCTGACCGGCACCTCTAAGCGCCGCGGGCCCAGGAAGCTGCCCAGAGCAGTCTGGGCTGGGTCCCAACGCTGGGATCGCTGCCCTGCTGGAGAGTGACAAGGCAGAAGCAGTCTTCTCTCCTCTCCTCGGAGACATCACATCACTCAAACAAGAAAGGCGAGGGACACCAGGCCAGTCCCGAAGGAGACGCCTGCAGAGCTGGGCCTGCGCCGCTAGGCCATGCCTCCAGGCGGAGGGGCCGGGAGCCTGACCTTCTGCCCTGAGCTGGTGTCCTGTGGCCCAAGGCCCGGCCTCCCGCTCTGTCCGGCCTGGAAGAAAGTGTCTCTGTCGCCGGACCCTCCATTGTAGTTGCTGAGTAGCCGCCATCAGAAAGGAAGGACAAGTCCCGAGCCCTAAGCGCTGCCAGAGGGGGTGGCAGCGGGGGGAGAGGAGGCCCGGCCCGCCAGGTGCAGTGCTCTGGATTGGAGGTGCCGGAGGTTTCTGCTCGAGGGGCACCTGGGAGGTGGGCGCCAGGGCTCCACTGTGGCTGGAACACAGATGCTGAGCGGCCACAGTGCTCAGCAGGGTGAGGGCTGTTCCCACAGCTGACGCTCAGGTCAGATGTCCTGCGCTGAGGCCCCCAAACCCGAGCTGAGGGTGGGAGGGTCCGCTTCCCAGGTGGATGGAGGCGGAGTGGCTTGGGACACCATACCCTTGGCAGGCCGATGGGGTCCCCAAACGCCACTGGGAACAGCCTGGCTCCCTCCTCAGGACACATGCAGGCACAGCAAAGAACCAAGGAGTGCAGTGGGTGGGGGTTCTTCTTTGTCTGTTTTTTTTGTGTGTGTCTTTTTTGTTCTTTTCCTAAAAGCAAACACACGCGCTTCCGTCTCTGTGCAGAGTAAGGACTCAAATGCGATTTGCCGCTCGGGAGGGTCGGTCTCACGGGCAGGCCGCCGACAGGGGGAGGGGCCTGACCATCGGCATCCGTGCAGGGGGAGGACGAGGTCCAGTGGGGCGGCGAGGCAGGCGTCTCCCGAGCTCTGGGCCTCAGCGGGGTGGGCAGCGCCTCTGGGGGCGGCCAGAGCGAAAGCGGCGCTCGGCTCTGGGTCGGGGACTGCATAGAAATTACTGCAAGAGCAAGAGGGCAGGTGAGGGTGGGAGGTGGGCGGCTAGAGGACCCCCCCCGGCCACCCGCCAAGCCCCCTGCCAGGGACTGGCTTCCTTGGGCCAACACAGGCCCCGAGACACTGACCCCACGGCCCCTCAGCACCAGAAAGCCCAGGGCAGAGCTCTGGGCGGCCTGTGCCCTCCCGCCCCGGGCCTCAGTCCCTGTCTGTCCCGGAGGGTGGGGACCGCACTCAGTAGAACCTCGGACCCCGTGGAGCCAGCGGGCGCACCTGGGCCACACTTACTGTGTCGCTCTCGCCGTCGGAGGCCGGGGGGGCCTGGGTGCTATAGTGGAGCGGGGAGTACACCCAGCTCCTCTCATCGGTGGGCTGGCGGGTGGGCGCGTGCAGGAGGGCGCAGAAGAGCAGGGTGCGAGGAGGCGCGAGAGAGGCAGAGGGAGAAGGAAGAGACAGGAGAACATAAAAGAGGCGAATCCCCCACGGAGGACGAGGGGTGGCTCGGCCCGGCTGCCCCTTTGACCTGGTGGACCTGCTCCCAACCTGGATGGGCCTGGGGCCTCGGCTCAGTGTGGTGGGGCGGGGCGGGGGGGGTGGCAGAAAGCGGTTAGTTCAGTCGAGGCAGGGCCTGAGACAGCGGGTGACAGAGCCGGCGGAAGCGGGTCAGGGTCGCGACCTGGAACACCACGTGTTCCTCCTCCTCCTCCTCCTCCTCCTCCACAGCCCATCCCCACTGCAGCCCCCAGTCCTGCCTGTGCCACGGGCACCAGCTCATGGGCTCCTGGGGGCTCTCTACGGGGGTCCTGGGAGGTCGGGGTGCTGGAGGTACTTCCTGACGCAGAAGCCTTTCGGGACTTTGAACACACGGCTGCCCGTGCATGTGCTCAGGAGAGACTGAGGCTCAGGCCACTCGCCCTGTAAGAGCCCAGAAGTGCACAGGGACAGGCAGGTCCAGGGCAAGGGACAGGCAGAGCTGTTCCCAGCTGTGCCCGAGGGAGGGGTCCCAAGTCTGGGTGAGATCTGGGGGGGAGGGAAGGTGCGTTCCTCCAACACCCCCGCCCTGCCCCTGGGTCTGCACCCCCTGAGGAGCCCCGGCCCTCCAGCTCCCTCTGCTCCGCCTGCCCCAGGCTGCTTCCGCAGGACTCCAGCCCGGCCTCCTCGTCCTCCTCCTCACATCCTCCTCTCTCGGTCTCCTGTCACCGCCCTAGCCTTCAACGCCCCTCCCGGCACAGAACTGTGATTTCCACTGGGCCCGACCTCGGCCCCTGTGTACCAGGCCTGAAGACACAACTGCCTGGCCACGTCCACCTGGTGTCCCTCAGCCCCTACCCTCGTCACAGCCACAACCCCACAACCCCATCACCCCACGACCCACTGCTCGTCCTTCCGATCAGGACAGTGTTTTATCTACCTGCTGCCCAGGCCAACCCACGCCGTTTCATCAGACATGTGCCCTGCCTGTGCCAGCTCCCGACTGCCCAAGCCAAACCTGGGGGGCACCCCCTCTCTTGCCTCGAGCCCCACCTCCGCGCTCCCTCACAGGGCCCAGCTCTGTGCTCACGCCACCCTGCCCAGTCCCTACAGCTCCCACCAGACCTGTTCCCGGCCCTTGGGCACCGAGCTCCCACCCCACGAAGCCAAATCTCGGAGGACTGACTCCTGCACCAACGGGCCGGGACCCCAGCACAGGCCTCGCCTTTTCCTCCAGGAGGATTGCATATGCAGCATGGAATCCCTGATGTGAAAATGGTGGGTCCAGCACGCCCCCCATGTCCCTCGAGGGCCTGGCGTGGCGAGCCACCGTGGGTGCTCGGTACTGATTTGGTGGCTGACTGACGGCTCCAATGGGGACTTCAAACTGTGGGGCCAAAACAGGGTCCCCACCGGAAAGAGCTGGCCCACGGGGAGGAGGGTGGCAGCAGCTGCCTCAGAGCTGCTCTCCGGGGTCAGGGGATGGGGAGGCATCCTGGGTGGCACTGCGCACGTAGCACCTGGGCAGGGACAACAGTATCCTTCTGCTAATGCGTTATAAATGGGGGTACAGACCAGGTACGGGGGCTCATGCCTAGAATCCCAGCACTTTGGGAGGTCGAGGCAAGTGGATCACTTGAAGTCAGGAGTTTGAGACCAGCCTGGCCAACATGGTGAAGCCCTGTCTACTGAAAATACAAAAACTAGCCAGGAGTGGTGGCAGGTGCCTGTAACCCCAGCTACTCAGGAGGCTGAGGCAGAACCCCTTGAATCCAGGAGGCGGAGGTTGCAGTGAGCTGAGATCATGCCACTGCACTCCAGCCTGGGACACAAGAGAGACTCCGTCTCAAAAAAAAGGGCAGGACAGCTGACTTCCCTGTCCTGCAGGAGTTGCGGGGACAGAAAGGGACCCCCTCAGCCAACAGCTGGGCAGGCAGGGGAAGTGTGGGGCAGTAGCAGCTGGGACCCAGAACCAGGTGAGCCCAGGAAGACCGGAACCAAGGGCAGAGCCTTGCCAGCACTCAGGCCTTGAGGTGTTCTGAACGGCCGTCCTGCCTCCCTTCCGGCCCCCACACTTCTGCTTCTGCTGTGCCTGCTGCTGAGACCAGTGCCAGCTTCTGCCCCTTCAAACCTGGTGTTTTTCAAAGTCCAGGCAGCCCGCTCTCCGGGCAGCCTGTGCAAGCTGCTCCCTGCCTGCGGGGCGGTGGCCGGCAGGGCCGTGGCTCTCTCCAGGGCTCCACCCTCCCAGCAGGCCCGATGGGCAGCTCCTTGTCCATCTCCAGGGCATGGCTTTGAGGGTGGCTGGCTTCCTGTTGGCCCCGTGGGACGGAGTTGCCTGGTGTAGCCGGGGAGGTGGCCTCCACCTCTGGGGTCACTCCAGAGTGCCTGGCACACGGCGGTGCTCAGAGGTGTCTGCTGATGGGCGGGGAGCCAGGGCGGCCTCCATGGGGGCTTTGTCTCCAGGAGACACCCCTGCTTCAGGTCTGCGCCCCATTCTGGCTGTGCAGTGCTGGGCAGGTTTCTTGGCCTCTCTGGTCCCTGGCTTTTTGGTCATAATGACAAGAGCAGGCCCCGAGGATCCTACAGCTAGCTACGTGGGCCCATGTGGTGTCCCGGGGGGACTCCTTGAGAGGTCGGGGACCTGGATTTTTACTAAACCATGTGGTCTCCCAGGCTGGCTGAGGCCTCAGCGTCTCCACCTGTGAGGTGGGTGTGGAGACACCATCTCCTCCCATCTCCATGGCCCTACGGTTCGGAGCCCAGCCCTGTGGCCACTCTGCTGACCTGTGCAACCTCCCCCACGCAGCCAGCAGATGCCCCTTGGGGGCCAGGGCAGCCAGGTCTGTACGAATGAGAAGCGTCTACCCAAGACACCCTGACACGGAAGGGCTGGGTCCAGAGGCAGGCCCCGGGCCTCAGCTGTGCAGCTGGTGGTGGTGCCGCCCTATGGAGCGCTCGGTTCAACGCGGGACCAAGTGACATTCCCAGTGATGCACACAGTTCAGTGCCTGGCCTGAACCCAGCCTGGTTGACCTCAACCGCAGCCGTGATTTCCCCAAAGCCCTTCTGGAGAACAGCGGACGCCGGATCCTGTGCTTCCGGCTGGGGACCTGCGGCTCCCTCTGCCCGAGGGGCACCGCCCCTTCTCCCCAGGGTGGCCGGCTGCGGTCACTTACAGTCCCCGAGGCGCTCAACGTCACGGCCCGCAGTCGGCGATGGTGGGGAGAGTAAATCCAGTACCTCCCATCCGTGAACTGGACGGGGTGGGCCGGGCGGGCGGGAGGAGGAAGGAAAACAGAGGACAGCGGATGAGGCGGCGACCCCGCGGTCGGGTGGGAGAGGCAGTGGGAGCAGGTGGGGAGAGCTGAGTGCCAAGCAGAGGCGGGGGTGCAGGGCAGGGGTGGGACTGAGGCCTCCCTTCTCCTTTCTCTGCTGCCCACGCAGCAGGGCGTCAGGACACAGACACACAGCAGGATATGCCCCCGGGCCCCGTACCATCCGGAGACCAAGACACGCACAAACCAGCCCTGGGGAGAGGGGTGGCAACATGGGGTGGGTGGGGGCAAAGGCACGCGGCCTGCCCCTCCCGTCTCCAGAGCCAGGTGGGGGCACAGGGACCCCACAGGCATCCCTGGAGATAGCAGGGGAGTTAGGAAGCAGCCAGTGGATGCCCCCAAAACAGGTTCTGAGGGCTGGTGCCTGCACCCCACCCACCGTCCCAGGGGGTGCAGGGTGAGGACAGGCCGTCTGGGAATTGGGCTGCAGCCTCCGGCCCTCCCTGTGACCTGAGGCTGCCTGACCCCTGAGTGGGGCCACTGAGGAGTGCAGATGCTGCCCGGACATCCCAGGCCTCGCTGGCTACCCAGCAGCCACCTCATTCAGACCCTGGCAAAAGGCAGGTGGGATCCCAGTCCCCAGGGCCGGGCAGACCCAGCCTCGACCAGGAGCAGCCCTGAGTCCCCAGTGTGCGGTGTGGGAGCAGGGGGCCCTCCTGCCACTGCCTGTCCCCCGGCCCTCCTCAAGGACGAGCCCACCTGGCCATGCCCACGGTGACAGGAAAAAGGTCCTGTTGCCACAGCCCTGCCTGAACATCTAGGCTGTCAAGAGTGCTGGGCCTTGGCCTATGCCGGGGCCTCCCAAGGGGCCGAGAGTCTGAGGATTCTGGATGACTCCCACGGAGATGGGTGGCACGGAAGGTGCCGTGGGCAAGAGGCTGGGGAGGTGACAGGGGCAGCTCTGGGGCCTGGGAAAGGCCTGGTCTGGAGGCACCTCCCACCTCGTGGGGTTAGACCAGGAAGAGGACGTGGGTGTGAACGTGGCGTGAGAGTGCCGGCTGGTGTGAGAGAGCATGTAGAGGGTCAAGAGAGCACTCCTTCATGCCTGTGTGCTGGTGTGTGTGTACACAGTGCTCTCATGTGGCTGTGCAGGTGTGTATACACAGTGTTCTCACGTGCCCATGTGCGGGTGTGTGTGTACACGGTGTTCTCACATGCCCGTGTGCGGGTGTCTGTGTACACGGTGCTCTCATGTGCCCGTGTGCAGGTGTCTGTGTACATGGTGCTCTCACGTGCCCGTATGCGGGTGCATGCGTGTGCACACGGTGCTCTCACGTGCCCATGTGCGGGTGCATGCGTGTGCACACGGTGCTGTCACGTGCCCGTGTGCATGCGTGTGCACATGGTGTTCTCGGTGCGGGTGTGTGCACACAGTGTTCTCACGTGCCTATGTGCATGTGCACATGGTGTGCACGCGGTGGAACATGTGAGAGAGACAGTCTGGTTGATGAGCCGGAGTCAGGTGGAGCCCGGGCACTTACAAAGTAGATGTCAGTAGCGGGCGCGTCCTCCTCGTCTGAGGCCTGGCTGGCGGGTGCACCCTCCTCGTCCGAGGCCTGGCTGGCAGTTTCTGCTTCCACAGCAGCAGAGGCACCGGCCGGGGAAGCCTCCACCCTGGGGACGGAGCAGACAGGCAGACTTGACCCTCAACCCCACCCAGAGCCTCCCTACTGCCCGGCTCGGGATCCAGGCAGGGGCTTCACACACTCATCACTGATATAGAAACCCAGGCAGCTGACCGCAGGCTACGCGCTCCTACTATTTAACGCAAATCAGAACAAACCCCTCAAGAAGCCCCCAAACGCTGACTCCAGGAATGACCTGCCAGCCCACTGAAAGCTCGGCCCTGCCTCCCACACGCACACCTGTGGGCAGGTGCTGGCCTCCCCCTCCCCAGCTCTGCCACCCTGGGAGGGCCTGTTCCTCCTCAGCCTCAGTCACCTCACCTGTCAAGTGGGGAGAGATGCACCACCCCACTGGGATCAGAGCTTTCTCCTTTTATTTATTTATTTTTTTGAGATAGGCTCTCTTTCCATCAGTCACACTGGCATGCAGCGGTGTCATCATGGCTCACTACAGTCTCCACCTCCTAGACTTAAGCGATCCTCCCATCTTGGCCTCCCAAGTAGCTGAGACTACAGGTGTGCACTGCTACACCCAACTAATTTTGTGTGTGTGTATGTGGAAACAGGGTCTCACTATGTTGCCCAGGTTGGTCTCCAACTCATGGGGTCAAGCGATCCTCCCGCCTCAGCCTCCTTTAGGAGGGATCACAGACAGGAGCCCACAAGCCCAGCCTCTCTGTCCTTACTGAGCACTTACTATAGACCAGGACGGGCTCCTGTGATTAACTCACTGAGTCTATCGTGAAGGATGGAGACGGTGCAGCTACCGTCCCTGTGATACTTTTGCAAAAACGGAGGCACAGAGAGGAGGTGAGGAACGGCCTCGGTCTTGGCTATGTAGTCGGTGCATAGTGTTTATCCCAGGAATGCGGCTACACACGCCCTCCCGCTACGTCGGGGGTTCAGTTCTTTTTAGCCAAGCCTGAAATTTTATGGTTCGAGGTTTGGCAACGGCCAGGAGCTGACAGTGGCAGGAACGCCGGGTGGAAGATAAATCCCCAGAGCTTTATTTTCTGGTCTATGCTGCTGTGAGTGCTAAAAAAGGTCTCTTGCAACGAAAATAAAAAACCATCTCAAGCAAAAATCATGAGAAAGGCAGGAAGAATTTGGTAACGACGCAAGCATGGGATTACACGCATCAGACAGATGACAGAAAGGACAGAGAGAAAGGGGCCGGCACGGGGCTTGTGCCTGTCATCCCAGCTACTCGGGAGGCTGAGGCAGGAGAATCACCTGAACCCAGGAGATGGAGGCTGCAGTGAGCTGAGATTCGCGCCACTGCACTCCAGCCTGGGCAACAGAGCGAGAATCTGTCTCAGAAAACAACAACAAAAAAGACGTAAAGGAACTGAATGATGACAGTGAAGATTCAACATCTTCACACTGCTGGTGGGAGTGTAAATTAGTCCCACCATGTGGAAGACAGTGTGGCGATTCCTCAAGGATCTAGAAATAGAAATTCCATTTGACCCAGCAATCCCATTACTGGGTATATATGCAAAGGATTATAAATCGTTTTATTTTTTTTTTTTTGAGACGGAGTTTCGCTCTTGTTACCCAGGCTGGAGTGCAATGGCGCGATCTCCGCTCACCGCAACCTCCACCTCCCGGGTTCAGGCAATTCTCCTGCCTCAGCCTCCTGAGTAGCTGGGATTACAGGCAGGCGCCACCATGCCCAGCTAATTTTTTGTATTTTTAGTAGAGATGGGGTTTCACCATGTTGACCAGGATGGTCTCGATCTCTTGACCTCGTGATCCCCCTGCCTCGGCATCCCAAAGTGCTGGGATTACAGGCTTGAGCCACCGCGCCCGGCCTAAATCGTTTTATTATAAGGACACATGCACACGAATGTTCATTGCAGCACTGTTTACAATAACAAAGACCTGGAACCAACCCAAATGCCCATCGATGACAGATTGGACAGGGAAAATGTGGCACATATACACCATGGAATACTATGCAGCCATAAAAAACGGTAAGTTTGGGTCCTTTGTAGGGACATGGATGAACCTGGAAACCATCACTCTCAGCAAACTGACACAAGAACACAAAATCAAACACCGCATGTTCTCACTCATAGGCGGGTGTTGAACAATGAGAACACATGGACACAGGGAGGGGAGCATCACACACTGGGGTCTGTGGTGGGGAAATAGGGGAGGGACGGGGGGGGGCGGGGAGTTGGGGAGGGATAACATGGGGAGAAATGCCAGATATAGGTGATGGGGAGGAAGGCAGCAAACCACACTGCCATGTGTGTACCTATGCAACAATCTTACATGTTCTTCACATGTACCCCAAAACCTAAAATGCAATTAAAAAAAAAAAAAGATTGGACATCACAGGGCTCACAGAGAACGTCCCGTCCCACAGAGATGCTCATTCTTTCCACGTGGTTGAGGTGTGTGTTCCCACCAAATCGCATGTGGAAATGTGGGCCCGGGGCTGAGGTGGGGCCTGGTGGGAGGGTTTTCAGCCATGGTAGTGGACCCCTCACGGCTTGGTGCTGTCCTTACCCTTGGGGCAAATTCTCACCAAATCTGCTAGTCTAGAAGTGTGTGGCACTGATGTGGGGCGCAATGGCTCACACCTGTAATCCCAGCACTTTGGGAAGTCGAGGTCGTTGGGTCACCTGAGGTCAGGAGTTCGAGATCAGCCTGGTCAACATGGTGAAACTGCTTCTCTAGTAAAAATACAAAAATTAGCCAGGCGTGGTGGCGGGCGCCTGTAATCCCAGCTATTTGGGAGGCTGAGGCAGGAGAACAGCTTGAACCTGGGCGGGTGAAGGTTGCAGTGAACCGAGATCGCTCCATTGCACTCCAGCCTGGGTAACAAGAGCTAAACTGTCTCAAAAAAATACATCAATAAAATAAAAAATAAAATAAGTAAATACTAAAAAGGCAAAAAAAAACCCTCATGACTTGGAAGTTCAGAGATGCTTTTACACAACTTTCTGCCCAGGGTCTCTTGCCCTTGGCCCTGTGGACAGTGGAACCAGGTCCTTTTCTGGGGTGAGGCTGTCCTGGGCACGGCAGGCTGATGTTGAGTGGCGTTCCTGGCCTCCACCCACTCCATGCCAGGAGCACCCCCGGTTCCAACAGCCACAAATGCCCCCAGGCATCGCCCAGTGTTCCCTGGGGATAAGGAGCAGCCCCAGCTAGTTGAGAACCACTGCCTTCATTCAAAAACAAAATGTATAGAAAACCACCACCTGTTAATACAAGCCAGTAAGATGGAGCGGCTTCATTCTGAAACCTTGGGGTGCTCTTGGCTCCTCCGGGGCCGCAGCAGGTGGGCGCCCTGACCTCCCGCCGAGGCCACACTCACCCTGAGTCTTCCTCTTTGGGGACCACGATCTCCACGCTGCACGTGGGCTCCACCTGCACCGTAATCTGCTGCAGGCCATCTTCCGTGGGTGGCTCTTCCTGTGGCCTGCAGGCAATGGGAGGCTGTGACTCAGTTTCCCTCCTCTTGTCCCCCTGTCCTACCCCCAGGAGTGCCTAGTGAACTCCCGGGCCAGTCCCAGAGGGGGGCTGGGAGCCTCCTGCTCGGGCCTGGTCTTTCTGGCTGTCACTCCCAGCCTGGGGACTGTCCACCTGGGTCCCTTGGTGGCTGTGGTGCTGGCAGGGCCCGGGGTGCAGCAGGCTCTTGAGGCACATGAGTGAATGGTGGCCCCGACCGGCTTAGGCGTCACAGATCCTGCCCACCCCCACGAGAGTTCCTGAACCTGGCAACCGAGGGTCTGACAGGCGAGTCAGTGTCCCGGGAGCCTGGCCTGGGCATGTGCTCTCTCCAAATGGCATGCTGGACAGAGGGGAGGGTCACATCCCACCCAGCACACCCTGGGCACCACGGCACACCAAGGGGTTTCTTTCATTAGGCAGCAGTGATTAAAACACAGTTAAGGAAAGCAACACCTTGCCACTGCCCCAGTGTTCACAAGAGTGAGACCCTGGGGACCTCGCAAATGTCCGTGAGGTCCGGGCACTTGAAGCCGGGTGCAGCCCATGGGATGGAAGGCCAGCATGCAGGCACAACAGGGAGCGGCGCACCCGCCGGTGGGACCATCTTCAGTCTCGTGACAACAGCAAGGGGCAGGCGGTGTGCATGGGTGTGTCCATTTGTGTCAAAATAAAAGGGAACCATAGCCGGGCGCTGTGGCTCACGCCTATAATTCCAGCACTTTGGAAGGCTGAGGCAGATGGATTGCCTGAGGTCAGGAGTTCGAGGCTAACCTGGACAACATAGTGAAACCCCGTCTCTACTAAAAATACAAAAAATTAGCTGTGTGTGGTGGTGGGCACCTGTAATCCCAGCTACTAGGGAGGCTAAGGCAGGAGAATGGCTAGAACCCAGGAGGTGGAGGTTGCAGTGAGCCGAGATAGTGTCAATGCACTCTAGCCTGGACAACAAGAGTGAAACACTGCCTCAAAAAAAAAAAATAAATAAAGGAACCACAAGCCTGATGCACATTTGCTGTGTCCCCAGAAAGTACCTCTGCAAAAAGACAAACCCACAGTCCCAGTGGCTGCTCCTGGGAAGGGACGGGCCGTTGCAGGAGGGGGCATTTCATGATGTTCCCTCTTGTACTTTCTTTAAGTTAAAGAAAACTTAATAGAAGAAGAAATAACGAAAGATCCACAGGCCAGAGCTGCCCCAGGGCATAAGAAAAACAAAGGGACTAGCAGATTCTGTGTGGTTCTAGGGCTGAGTGCTGGAACCTTACATCTGTCCCCAGGAGAGAATGGGCAGAGAGCAGAGGGGTTGGGGGGCGGGAATGGGAGCTGTGAGCTGTGCAGGATGAGCCGGTGAGAGACCCAGGGAGGGAAGAGGGCTGGGTCTCACCTGCCATCCTGTCCAGAGGACTGTGTGCGCCGTCTGTAGAGAAAAGGCACACAGGTGACACAGGGGAAGAGCCATGGCCCGCCCCCTTGGCAACCCCGCCCACCTGTATATTGGATACCCAGCCCACCTGTACATCTGATGCCCCGCCCTCCTACACATCAATTGCCCCGCCCACATCCACAGCAACGCCCCGGCCTTCTGCACATCAGATGCCCCACTTACATGCACAGCAGATGCCCCGTCCACCTGCACAGTGGATTCCCCGCCCTCCCGCACAGCGGATGCCCCACCCACCTGTACCGGGGCTGCTCTGATGTCTCCGAGGGGGACCGCTCAGGAATGGAGAGGGATGTGGATGACAGAGTCGTGGCAATGGAGGCTGTAGTGGCTTCTTCAAAGGACGGTGGCGTGCAGGGCAGGAGGTCAGGCCGGCCTGCAGCGAGAGGACTGTGGGCACCTTGCGGAGCCTCCGGGCCCCAAACACCACAGAGGGTTCTCCCTGAGGCTGGGCTCACCCGGGAGCCCACAGCCCAGTGCCTGCAGCCTCCTGGACACGCCATCTCCCCACACGGCAGAGAAGGGTGACGTTTCCCCTTGCATGAAGACTTCTGACCGCTCTCAAAATAGAATCCAGACCCTTACACAGCCCAGAAGGCCCTGTGCGACCTGGCCTGCCCCACCCCACTGCCTCCTCCCTCTCTTCCCCTCCCCACTGCTCAGCCACAAGATCCTCCTTGCTGTTCCCCCAGCAGGTGCAGTACTGCCCCACGGTCTGCACATGGTAACGTCCCTTCATTCCACCCCCCCAACTCCCTGACATCAGGCCCAGCCCGGGGGCTACATGCCTTCTATGGCATCCCAGTGCACCTCGGTGACAGTGACTGTGACAGAGGGTGGGAGCTGTCCCAGTGCCCAGTGGAGCCTTCCACACTCAGCTCTCTCTGGGGCTCTTCCCTGGGGCCGGGCCGGCTCTGCAGGTCCCGGAGGTGGCAACTGAGTGACGAACTCTCAGGATGAGGCCTGTGCCCCGCCCACTGGGCTGCTGCTGGCACCCTGTGGCCCCTACAAGCACACTCCCGCCCTCTGCCCCTCACCTTCGTCCTCCAGCGTGGGGTAGCTGCGGGCCCCCCGCAGATCATACTGGGCCTCCTCCCGCTCACTGGGGATCTGGCTGGCGGAGAAGGCGGCTGTGGGCCCCAGGGGTTTGACGGCCAGCAAGGCTCCACCGCGCCCCTTCTTGGAGGGTGAGGACTTCAGGGCTGCAGGGGAGGGGGGCTGGGTGTTGGCACCTGGGGCTGCTGGGGGCTCGCAGCAAAGCCCAGACAGGACCGCTGCCTGCATGTGCCTCTGCCATCCCTGAGGCCAGGAAGCAATAAAGCCTCTGTGGAAAACCAGGCTGGCTGCGGGAGGCACTGAGGGTCCTAGTCACCTGTCCTGCCCACCCAACCGTCTCTGAGACACACGGGGCTTGGCACAGTGCCTGCCCTCCCGGGGCCCTGCAGACCTGTGGCTCCCATCTATCAAGCTGGCCAGGGCCCCCAGTTTCAGACAGACATGAGAGCCTTGGGGAGCACCAGGTGTCGTCGGAGAACTCAGTGGCTCAGCATGTAGGGCCCAGATCCAGGCTCGCCCACTGGCTGTGTGGCTTGGTGTCTCCGGGCCCCGGTGGTTGACCTTAGCAGTTGGGTTGGGCGGGGCAGGTGATGCCACAGCGCCCCGCAAGGGACAGGGCCGGTCCTCAGAGCTGTTTGAGCTCTGCCTCCTCACCAAGCTCTTGTGACCTCTGGCCCCGGAATGGCCCACACAGTTCCTGGTAAACAGTAAGCGCTCGGTTTGCCTTGTGCAGCTTCCTATAGTCGCCACAGGCTGGCAAACACCCCAGGATGACTGGAAATGACCCCGTGGCAATGGTCCCAGAGAGTGGTGTGTGGGGACAGGCTCCACAGCCGGCTCTCCAGAGATAGTTCCTAACACGTGATGTCTGCCAATTCCCACGGTGTCAATTAGAGGGGGTCCCTGACCTCGGAGCCAGGAAGAGCGGCCCCACTGTGAGTGTGGGACATTGGCGTGCCTGTCCCTGCTGCTCCGGGGAGCAGCCCCCGTGGGTGCGTACCCATGGACCATTCACGCCACCAACACTTCCCAAGCACTGTGTGCTAGGCCTGTGCAGGATGCTGGGGAGGCTGGGAGCCTTCCAGTGCGGAGGGCCCTGAGCAACAGACCCGGGAGGAGCCCATCTGCAGCAGGTGGGCCACAGGCCGAGGTCTGCACTGGGACCTGGGACCCCAAGCCTGAGACCAGATGTTACAGTGGCACGAGGGGAAGCTGAGTCCTGAGAGATGGGGACCTCCCCAGGGCACCCTGGATGAACCCTGAGTCCCCACCTTCCCCTCCCATAGTCTGCTGGGCTGGCCTCCTGGGTTCTCCTGGCTGGGACGGGTTTCCTTGGTGAAGGTGATGTTGTGGGCAGCCCCACACACTGTGAGCTACCTGGGGGGGCCAGGCCCACCCATCCCATATATAAACACTGTACCCTCACCATGCTGTGCAAATGGGGAAACTGAGGCACACTGGGAGGACAGGCCAGGATTCAGGATTCAGGCTGTGGACCCATGCTCTATCCCTGTGCAGGTAAATGTCCTGACTACCCTACCTCTGGGTAAGGCCCGGTCTGAGGGGGGGCACAGGGGCTCTGGGTTTACCGTCCCTGCCCACTGGGTTCTCAGCCTCCCCTAGAGTCCCTCCCACCCCACAGGGCTCAGGTGGCTTACAGGAGTTCTTCCGAAAGACCGTGTTGCTCATGAACTTGAAAAAGCGCTCAGCATAGAAGCTGGGGCGGTGGACGGACACGGTGTCCTGGAAGAGAGTGGTGGGGGTGCCCGGGGTCAGAGGGCGCATCAACCAACAGCCAGGGACAGCCCCAGACAGACACGGGGTGTGGGGTGAGGTCGGGGGGCACCTTCCGTGTGAAAAGGCTGGAGATGTGTCCATGGCACCATGGCTTGCTGGGAAGGGCTCACGGAACCGGGAACAGGGGTTCCCTCTGGGGAGGGAGACGGTGGCAGGGAAGAGGCGGGAACTTTTCCACTAGAGACCCGTTAGCATGTTTGACTTCCTTTTTTTTTTTGAGACGGAGTCTCGCTTTGCGGTCCGAGCTGGAGTGCGGCGGCGTGATCCTGGCTCACCACAACCTCTGCCTTCCGCGTTTGAGCAATTCTCCTGCCTCAGCCTCCCAAGTAGCTGGGATTACAGGCGCCCACCACCACGCCCAGCTAATTTTTGTATTTTCAGTAGAGACAGGGCTGGCCAGGATGGTCTTGACCTCCTGACCTTGTGATCTACGTGCCTCGGCCTCCCAAAGTGCTGGGATTACAGGCGTGAGCCACTTCGCCCGGCCAGCATTTTTGCCTTTTTAAACCAGGTCAATCAGGTATTCTGGCCAGGCGCAGTGGTCCACATGGACTTGCAGGGGAGGCTGAGGCAGGATGGCCTGGCTGGGGCCCTGCTGGGATGTGGCCCTTGGCTTCCCAGAATGCAGCCTCCATTCCCAGTCTGCTTGGTGGGGAGTGGCCACGCGCCAGGACCGTGAACGACTCCACCCTCACAGGCTGCAGTGGGAGGTGGTGCCTGTCCACTGTGGGCGAGGGGACAAGGACAACCCCAGGGAAGTGGGGCGGCAGCACAGGACATCCTAGCCGGCCTCGTCAGAGCGAGAGGGCTCCTATCTGCTCTGGGCCGTGGGTTCCGGGCCTTGGTGAGTTTTAAGACATCCCCAGAGGCCTCTGCCGGCCACCACCCTGACCTGCTCCATGCTTATCCTGGAAGCTATGGCCTGGACCTTCTAAACACTCTTGAAAAATGGGGGTGTCTGTTGGGATCTTGGATTCTACAGGCTGTGGCCACACAGATGTTAGTCCTCAGCACCTGGCCCCAGGAGGTGGTCTGTTTGTGGAGCGATGAATGGGAGGGAGGCCGGGACGACAGGTGGGAGGAGGGGTGCAGGCGCTCACCCCATCATGGACGAGGGCCTTCCAGGTGTGCTCCAGTTTCTTGATGAACCTGTGGAGAGAGTGCCCGGAGTGGCAGCTGACATCACCCCCCATGCCAGGCGGCCTCACTCAGGGGGCACTGTGCACCCCTTAGGACACTGGGCCATGGCCTCGGGCAATCGTGGCTGTCAAAGCTCAGGGTGGCAGGTGCTCCAGGCAGAGAGTGGGTGGAAGCTCACTGCTAAGCTCCCTGCAATGTCCAGGACGGCCCCACCCCAGAGAACCACCTGGTCCCAATGTCCACAGCACTGGGTGGGTGACCCTGTATTTAAATATGCTAGAGCCCCAGGTGGGCACGTTGGCTCACGCCTGTGATCCCAGCACTTTGGAAGGCTGAGGGGGGGTGCATCACTTTAGGCCAGGAGTTCAAGACCAGCCTGACCAACATGGTGAAATCTCGTCTCTACTAAAAATACAAAAATTAGCTGGGCGTGGTGGTAGGTGCCTGCAGTCCCAGCTACTCAGGAGGCTGAGGCAGGAGAATCGCTTTGATGCAGAAGGTGGAGGTTGCACTGAGCCAAAATCGCGCCACTGCACTTCAGCCTAAGGGACACAGTGAGACTGTTTCAAAACAAAAAACAAATATTCAAGCCCCAAAGTGAGACTTCAAACCCACTCCTTGGATTTTGTCTTTGAGACAGGGTCCTGCTCACCCAGCCTGGAGTGCGGTGCTGTGATCACGGCTCACTGCTGCAGCCCCGGGCTCAAGGGATCCTCCTCAAGGTCTCCCGAGCAGCTGGGACTGCAGGAGCACCACCATGCTCTGCTAATTTTTTAAAATTTTTTGTAGACACGGGGTCTTGCTATGTTGTCCAGGCTGGTCTCAAACTCCTCAGCTCAAGTGATCCTCCCACCTTGGCCTCCCACAGTGCCGGATTACAGGCGTGAGCCACTATGCGCAACTCACTCTGTGGATTTTGAAGGTGACCAGACACCTTCCTTTAGGGCTCAAGAGGGAACAGCCCAGCAAGAGTCTTCCAGAAGGCTGAGGAGCCCCAAGAGCTGCTGGTGCTGCTGTTTCCGCGGGCAAGCGCCTCTGTACATGGGTGTCCATGGGGCGCCCACTGGTGGGACTGCAGACCCAGGTGTCCGCCTGCAGGCTGCAGAGCCAGGCACCCACCTGTAGGCTGCAGACCCAGCACACCCCGTGTGACTGCAGACCCGGCACCCCCCAGTGTGTGACTGAACACCCGGCACCCCCCTGTGTGACTGAACACCCGGCACCCCCCTGTGTGACTGCACACCCGCACCCACCTGTACGACTGCAGGATGTCGATGATGCCGATGTGCAGCAGTAGCCGCTCCCCGCGGCCATTCACGGCAGGGATCCCGCCCATCCTGGAGAGAGAGGCCAAGGGCACCGTCAGCATCCCACAGAGCTGGGACTTGGGGCAGGCAGGGCTGGGGAATCCACCTGCTCCCGTGGAGCCCTCGGAGTGGGGTGTGACACCCGGGAACCTCTGTCCTGACATCCCTCCATCACCCCCAGCCTGAAACCCAGGCCCAGGCGCTGCCGAGGAGTCCCAGCTAGGAGGCCTGGGCACACACCCCCCACGCACACACACGTGCACAGACACACACATGCACGTACACGTACATGCACACACCGCACGCTGCATGCCCAGGCAGGGCCACAGGGTCTCAGGTACAGCCTGGGAAGTTAACTGTCACCCGGCACCACACCACACGTCCCCTGCCCAGCGCGGTTAGTGAGGCCACACGTGCAGCAGCCATCCTGAAGCCACCAGGACCAGACCCGCTGGGCCTGGGCCCTGCACGCTCTGCTCACACCACAGGCTACTGTGCTCACCTGCTCCCCCGCTGGGCCCTCGAAGACCCTACAACCACCAGGATGGTCTGAGTGGGAGCTGTGCCCGGCCTTGGCTCCCTGCCCCCAGCTACACCCTGGTTGGGGCTCCAGCTCCCCCTCTGCTGTCCATGGAACACGCCACCACTGTTGCAAATCAAGGCTCAGCTAGTGGCCTAGTGTGAGCCAGCACTGCCCCCCGGGCCAGGCCAGTCAAACTTGGCTCCACGCCCGGCGGCTGCGCTGGGGAGCGCTGCCCCCACCGGGGAGCCTTTATTTCCTCCACTGGAGACGGGGGAAGCCCACTTCCCCCCTCCAAGGCCGCTGTGAGGACTGAACACGGTAACCAAGGGGAAGGCTCTGTTGTCCCCACAGTCGGGGAGCCGCTGTGACCAGGGCACCGTTTCTGCACTGCCGTACGACACCTGTCCATCCCATCCCCTGGGCCGTGTCTGAGGACATCTGTGGTTGTCACAACTGGGGGTGCTCCTGGCCTGGAGTGGGTGGAGGCCCGGGACACCGCTCAGCACCCTACAGTGCCCAGGACAGCCCCACCCCAGAGAACAACCCTGCCCCAACATCCATACTATCCCAGGAGGGCTATGCGAGCGTCTTCCCAACCAAACCCCGAGCTGTGAGGGCCTGCCTGGCCCCTCTGCCCCTGGCGTTCAGCAGAGACTTGATTGTAGGCTACTGAGGTACGGCCTTCTCTCTCCACCGCCATTCCCATCATCTGTGGCAGACACTTTTTTTTTTTTTCTTTTGAGAAGGAGTCTTGCTCTGTCTCCAGGCTGGAGTGCAGTGGCGTGATCTCGGCTCACTGCAACCTCCGCCTCCTGGGTTCAAGCGATTCTTCCGCCTCAGCCTCCCGAGTGGCTGGGACCACAGGCACCTGCCACCATGCCCAGCTAATTTTTATATTTTTAGTAGAGACGGGGTTTCACCATGTTGGCCAGAATGGTGTGGATCTCTTGACCTCGTGATCCCCCTGCCTCGGCCTCCCAAAGTGCTGGGATTACAGGCGTGAGCCACCGCGGCCGGTCAGCAGCCATTTTTTTTTAAACAGATTTCAGTTCTTTTTGCCCAGGCTGGAGTACAGTGGCTCAATCTCGGCTCACTGCAAGCTCCACCTCCTGAGTTCAAGTGATTCTCCTGCCTCAGCTCCCAGGTAGCTGGGATTACAGGCGCACACCACCACACACCACTAATATTTTGCATGAAGTAGAGACAGGATTTCTCCATGTTGGCCAGGCTGGTCTGGAACTCCTGACCTCAGGTGACCCACCTGTCTTGGCCTCCCGAAGTGCTGGGATTGCAGGCATAAGCCACCACACCTGGCCTTTTTTTAAAATTTTAATTAAAAAAATTTTTTTTTTAAATTTTGAGATGGAGTGTCACTCTGTCACCCAGGCTGGAGTGCAGTGACGCAATCTCAGCTCACTGCAGCCTCCGCCTGCCACACTCGCAGGACCCTTCAGCCTCCTGAGTAGCTGGGGCTACAGGCTCACTTGCAGCTAAGCTTCATATTTTTTGTAGATATGTGGTCTCGCTATGTTGCCCAGGCTGGTACTGAACTCCTGGGCTGAAGCAACCCTCCCACCTTGGCAAGTGCTGGAATGACAGCCGCTTTAATCTGGGTAGAATCAGAGTTTGCAGCCCTCCGCGTCGTGGGCTGTGTCCCGCTGAGGGCGCCGCCTCGCCCGGTCCCTCTGGCCTCCCACGCATCCTCCACACCGTTGTGGCTCCGCTCTACACAGGCAGCGTGTCGACCCCTCTGAGGGCCATGAGGAAACGCCATCTCAATCTCATTCCTGTGGATGGCCAGTGGCCTCGGCCCAGTCACGGGCGAATGGAAGTGCCACCCTGCCATTTCCAGACCAGGCCCCGAACACTGCGCTCAGCCTGTGGCCGGCACCACAGCCTGGCTTCACTCTGGGGCACCGATGCCAGGCTCCAGACTCCCAGTACCTCTGTCACCCATGACACCCTCGCCAGCCCTCCCTGCCAGCTTCCACACTTGGGACGGGGTCGGGAGCGGGGGTCTGAGGGGCTGGAGCCCGCAGGGAAGGGAAGCGGGAGGGGTCCGGAGGCCCCCCGCCCACCTACGTGTCGTCCGACTCGATGGCCTCCCCACGCGCGGCGCCGCCCTGGATGGACTCCATGGCCGTGGAGTAGAGTGCCTTCTGGCCCACGGGCCGCTTCTCATCCGAGGTGCTCTGCGCGCCCTGCGCCTGCCGCTCACGCTCGTGCTGGTCGATGTTGTGCACACCCAGCAGCAGGCTGTAGTCCATGATCTTGAAACTTTCCAGCACCTGCAGGGTGGGGCGCGAACATGCGGTCAGCTGGCTCCACCCCGCAACGGCCCGATGGCCCGGTGGGCTCGGATGTGAGGGGTGCAGTCCCACGGCCCTGCAGGGGTGGGGTTCTACCCTTATCCAGGGACAGAGGGGCCGTGGTCACACAGCGGCCTCAAAGCGGGCCAGAGAATGAGGGCTTCCGGCCTCCCAGCAGGTTGCCTCGGACGCTGGGACGGGGACTTTCCTTCCTGACTTTGCTCCTTCCTGAGAGACAGGGGGGCCGGGCCTGTGCCTGAGCAGCCCAGGCCCAAGGGCGAGGATGTGCCTGGCCCAACAGCCGACACCCAGGTGCATGGGTGCCCACGGTAGCCTTGAGGCCTGAGTGGTTTGGGCGGTTTTCTGGACGTGTGAGTCAAGTTCTTTTTTATTTAAACTCTTAAAAAAATTTAAGCAAGCAAGTTATCAAAGGGGTCAGGCATCTGGGGGTGGTCAGCGGGGGACCTGGGTGGAGCGCGGGAGCTGGGAGGTTCCAGGCTCTGCTCCCAACAGACTGAGGCCTCCCCTCCTTGGCTGCATGCCTCAGCTGTGAGGGTAGGGCAGGGACAACACAGCTCACACAGGCAGAGGAAGAGCCACCGCAAGCTCCACGGGGAAAGGAGCCAGAACCCCCACCGGATAGATACGGGCCCTCACTGCAGCCTACAGGGCAGGCAGTCCTCCCATTGGATGGGTGGGGAAACTGACGCACAGCAAGTTTTCAAGGCTGGTCAGAGAGCTCTGAGCTTGTGGCCACAGCATCCAAAGGCTGGGCTCTCTTCTCTGGGGGTTAAGGGGGACTCTGTACCACTGTCACCATGTCGTCTCCAGAGGAACCACTTCTTAGCAGTGCAGACACTCCCGACCCCCAAGGGCTGGGTCTGGAGAGGTGTTTTGTTTTGTGTTTTCTCTGGGAAATGGGGTCTCACAATCTTGCCCATGCTGGTCTTGAACCCCTGGGCTCAAGCCATCCGCCTGCCTCGCAAAGTGCTGGGATCCCAGGCAGGGGCCACTGTGTCCAGCCACATCTTAGGCTAAGGCCATAAAAGCTTGAGCTGCTTCCGGACCCCACGTTGGGCTGGGGCCTACCCTGGACTTCGGGGCAGGCGGGCCTCAGCCTGGCACCCTCCCCAGCCCTGCCTGCCCTCCCCAGGCAGTCCCGCACCCTCACCCTCCCGTGCCCGCCCGGGCCGCGGCCTCACCAGGCAGTCCCGCTGCAGCGTCTTCACCAGGGCGCTGAAGGTGTCGGCGTCCAGCAGGAGCCCCTCGGGCATGTCCTGCATGAAGTCCAGGTCCTTGTAGGTGGGGAAGCTCTTCTCCTTCTCCTTCCTGCTGGCACGCCGCTTATAGGTGGAGCCCTTGAGGTCAAACTTGAGGTGCATCTTGACCACGCGCGGCAGGATGTTATTCATGACCACCACGCGGATGTTCTTGCCCCCCGACTGCACGCAGTACAGCCCGTAGAACTTGGGCAGCAGCGTACGCGGGTTCTGGTTGAGGTTCTGCCGGGAGGAGCGGGCAGGTCTCAGGGGCAGCCGGGCCACAGGCTCTCGGGGGTGGGCGGAGCTGGCCTCTGCCTCAGGGGACTTGTGGATGCCCCTGGGCAGCCCCCTCTCTCCCCAGGAGTCCTCAGGGACCCCTTCCTCCCTCTGCAGGTGCCCACCTGGCCTTCCCACAGCGCCCTACTCTCACGGGTCTCGGGGTCTCCCCATCCAACTGTGAGCTCCAGGAGGGTCTGTTTCTACAGAGCCAGGCCCCGAGTCAGGGGCTTCTGATCCACCAGAGGCTTCCACACTCCCTGCCTGCCCACAGGACATCGCCCCAGCTGGGCTTGCCTGCTGGGAGGTCTGGAGGACAGAAAAGTGATGCTCTGTCTATCCTAAGTACGTACACATACGTATATGCATATGCACGTGCACACGCACACGCACGTGCACACATACACATACACGCGCGCGTGCGCGCATATTTTCTTGAGACAGAGTGGAGTTCTGTTGCCCAGTCTGGAGATCTGCATGGTGCGATCACAGTTCACTGCAGCCTCAACCTCCAGGGCTCAAGCCATCCCCCCACCTCAGCCTCCTGAAGTGCCAGGACCACAGGCGTGCGCCCGGCCTCTGTGCTGGCTATGCTCCGCCTGTTTTGGACTAATCAGCTGGGACTTTCACTCCACATCCGGGTCTGCAGGCACAGGCAGGATCTGGGTCCCGCTCTGCCCTGTAGACCCCAAGCAGGCACTGGGTGACCCAGGGTTGTCCAGGTGAGGCCACAGCTCCCCTGCCCAGAACCTTCTATGACGAACCCAGGGGGATGCTGCCCGGGTGTCAGGGCCGGGTCAGACCCACAGGGAGAGGAGTGGGGGGTGAGGCCTCAGGCACCAGCTTGGGGAGGCTCTGCAAACTCCAACACTCCCCTGGTGGAACCCGGCTGTCACCTATTTTTGTGGGGCTGTGAGCTGAGAATGATTTTTTTCAGTTTTAAAAAGTGGAGAGGCCAGGCGCGGTGGCTCACACTGTAATCCCAGCACTTTGGGAGGCCAAGGCAGGTGGATCATGAGGTCAGGAGATCGAGACCATCCTGGCTAACACAGTGAAACCCCGTCTCTACTAAAAATACAAAAAATTAGCTGGGCGTGGTGGCGTGCACCTGTAGTCCCAGCTACTCGGGGCCGAGGCAGGAGTATCGCTTGAACCCAGGAGGTGGAGGTTGCAGTAAGCTGAGATCACACCACTGCACTCCAGCCTGGCAACAGAGCAAGACTCCATTTCAAAAATATAAAAGTAAACTAAATAAATAAAAAGAGGAGAAATAAAAATAGTTTTTTGTGACAGGTGAACAGTGATATGGAATTTGCATTTCTTGGTCCATGAACAACGCTCATGAGCACACGGCCGCACCCGTCCATTCTCGTGTGGTCACGGCGGCTCGGTGCCACCCAGGTAGAGCTGAGCCCTGGAGTCACAGACCACGGCCTCACAGGGCCAAAAACACTCACTTTCTGGGACTTGACAGACAGAGTTTGCTGAGCCTGATCTAGGGAGCCTGGGCCCCACCATAAGCATCACACAGAGTGATGGAGGAGGACTCAACGGGGAAACTGAGTCACAGGCTGTGCTGCCCAGAGTGGCCGGGCAGCAGCTGTGACCTGGCCACGTGGGAGGCGCCCACCCCGTCTGGGCAAGTACCCGAGTCCCAGGCCCAAGAACACAGCGGCCGCCGCCAACTCCTGCTCCCCAACCCAGGGCCTGATGTGCCCTTTCTGAGTCACGTGGGATGAAGAATGGGCCAGATGGAGCTGTCTCACGCCCACCTGAGCAGCTGCTCTTTTGTGGGGCACCAGCTGGCGGCCCATCCCCTCCTCTCTGCAACTCTCTGAGTCACCTTTGGGCCACTTGGGTCTCCATGGCACCTGAGAGACGCGGCCCACGGGCCGCCCTAACCCTAAGCCAAACCCACAGCTCATAGGGGGTGTTGGCAAGGTGGGGGTGGGGAGCCAGGCAGGGGCCGGTGCCCACCCAGCCCTGCCCAGGGACGGCCCTGGGAGCGTGTGGCCACAGGAGAAAGACAAGGCAGCTCCTGAACACTGGTGCTGGAGGAGCCTGACGGGGGACCCCGAGGGTGAGTCCCCAGGCGCCTCTTGCTGTGCCCCAAGGATGCCTGCTCGCCCTAGCCTTGCTGCTTCTGCCAGCCGGGAGAAGGGGGCAGGGGCAGGTGGGGGCGGGCGCGCACCATGTAGTATCCGGGGAGCAGCTTCTGCAGGAACTCGGCCTCCTTGTGCATGACGGTCTTGATGATGAACTCATCATCGCTGGTGACGTAGAAGAGGGAGCCGCTGGCGCCCGGGTTGGACAGCTCGATCAGCGGCTCGTTGCACAGGGAGTACTGGAAGCAGGGGAGGCGTGTCAGTGATCCGAGGCTGCTGGACACACAGAGGCGCCGCTCCCGGTCTGCCCGACAGCCCCTGGACCTGACTTGTCCCTCCATTTTACAGATGAGGAAACAGAGGTTCGGAGAGGGGTCGTGACTTGCCCGAGGCCAGCCAGCGACATGTGGTGCCTGAGCCGAGCCAACTCTGCAGCCCAAGGGCCGGCCCGCTAGGGCACTTCCCCAGGCTGCCTCCCCCTCTCCTTAGAAGCAAACACCTGATCATACGGGGGCGCCAGCAGGTGTGGCAGCACCCCTGCAGCTTGGTGTGGCCACAACGCCAGCTCTGCCCCATGAGGCATATGCAGAAGTTGAGGGGTGGAACTCGGGGAAGGCTCCCCAGAAGGGCGACAGGCAGCTGGTGCACCTGCGTATTTGCCCTTCTCTCCTTCCCACCGATTTCCCTCCTGAGATGCTGATGTGATGGTTGGAAGCCCAGCAGCCACGCTGGTCCAAGAAGTAACCTCCGGGATGGGAGCTGCATCTCTGGTGGGCAGGCCCCACTCTGGCCCGTGGCAGTCCAAGCCCTTCCTCCCCATCTCTCTGGCCCTTGTTCTCAGCCCCTGCTGTTTGTTTCATGATGTGCTCACTGTCTCTCTTCCCCCAGCCCTGTGCCAGCCATTCGGCAGTAGGCCTGTGGAGGCGGAGGTTTTTGTGTCACTGACACACAGCAGGTATTTGTTAAGGACGAGAGTGAAGATGAGGCCCGTGGGTGCTACCCTGAGCCTTTCGGGTACAGAACCAACGAACTGTGCTCGGGGCCAAGGCATCCGGGTCACATCCTGTAAAATCCTAAGTGGCCACCATTGGTCTACATGGATAAGGTGACAGCGAGCTCCCCATCAGCGAAGCAAGCCAGGTCCACCCAGGGTCAGCGCTGGGGCCGGATCCGCTGAATGACGGAAGGGTGGTCTCCGAGTGCTGAGTGCTGCCGGCCCCACTGGGAAGAACGCTGCTGTGCTAAGCAGGTCGGGGGCGCTCCCCAGAGTTCGGGGTGGTGGCGAGCGGAAGCCAGGGGAGGCCAGGCATGGTGGTTCACCTAGCACTTTGTAATCCCAGCACCTTGGGAGGCTGAGGTAGGAGGATTGCTGGAGCCCAGGAGGTCGAGGCTGCTGTGAGCTGTGATAGCGCCACTGCCCTTCAGCCTGGGCAACAGCGCAAGACTATTTCAAAGGGAGCCCCAGCAAGTGAGGGGCACCACCTGTGGAAAATGCTGACAGAGCCGGGATTGGGTGCGAGCTGGGTCCCCAGCTCCACACACTCTGATGTGTGGATATGCTTGGGGGCCAGAGGAGCTGGGAAACATGAGGTCACTTTAGGCCCAGGGCCTGGGAACGCCCCCATCCCTCCTGGGGCTCAAGTCACCGCCCCCCCCCGCCACTCCACTGTGCGGGGTGGTCTTGGGCCAGGGAATGGCGTCATCATTTATCACACGCCGGTCAACACGGGCTGGATTCTGCAGAGTCACCAACAGCCCTGTCCCCCTCGGTGGCTCAGAACAGCCACTCACGCTGCTTCTGCCATGCCTGGCTGGGAGTGACGGCGCAGGGTGTAAGCCATGGGGGGCTCTGAGGCTGCAGGGAGAGCTGTCTAGGCCACTGCTGTCACCTGGTCGGCCATCTGTCTGCCTTTCACCGCCCACTGCCACGAGCCACAAATATCCACAGGAAACGCAGGGCCCACGCGGCTCCTCCACCCTCCCCGCCACGGCAGGACGCCCTCCAGCCTCCCCGACACAGGCGTGGTGGCACAGGGCGAGGACAGGCCTCTCCTGGGGCTGGTGCCCTCCCTGGGAGGCCTGGGCCACTGTCCTCAGGTCACATGGAGCGGGGAGCGCCCAGCAGCCGGAGTACACCCCCGAGGCACAAATCCCTGCTTCCTCTCCGCAGTGGCAGGAGGGAGGCTGATCTCATCTGCAGAGCGGAAAACGCTGTGGAAGGGGCATGTTGAGCTTCACACAAAGACCACCAATGACAGGGACATTCTGGAGCCACACGCTAATGGCAGTTGCCCTCGGGCGCAGGCTAGTGGGGCTGCAGCCTCCACGGGCCTCAGCTGTCGGGGAGACACAGCCCCATGTGTGGGTTTCGGTGCCAGGCAGGGCCAGGACAAGCCCCCACAGGCTCCGTGGTCGGGGCCGGGGCTCTCTGCAGCCGCGCTGCTGACCGCGTCCTCTTCTCCACCCCCGGCCGACCGCTAGGCAGGCCTGGGCCCCACCCTGCGTCCCACCTCCACCTTCTCCTGCCTGGCTGTCCTGAGCTGAGAGCCGTGCCGGGGCCACCCCCACTTACCAGAGGGAACAGTGGCCTCAGCTTTCTCATCAGAGAAGCACTGGTAACCCCACGTCCCCGCAGCCTCACCTGTGGCCACTCAGGCTCAGGGAGCCTGGGGACTGCCACACGCACACCGGCCCGTCCCCTGCCGCCAGCGCACGGCCACTCACACCACAGCCTGGACAGAGGCCAGGGCTGCCGCCTGCTCAGCACTGGGGCCAGGAGAATTCTCACCCCGAGATGAGCAGAAGGATCAGGGGTCACCAACAGCAGGCTGGCCCCCTGACGCCATGGGTGCACACCCAGCTTGAGGCCCCAGAACTCGGTCTTACTGGATTCTAGGTGAGCCCCAGATGGCCCCAGTTCAGCTTTCATCCGTCCGCTCCCGATAATGGACACTGGTGCCATCTCTGCTACGAGCCCGGCCGCCACCTTTCACTCCCAGCAGCCTCACAGGCCAGAAGTGTGGCGTCCAGGTCACCCGAGGGCCATTTCTACGCACAAACCTCGGGCAGTTCTCTCTCCCCACTGTCCCACCCAGCTCAGGCAAACCGCTGGGACACAGAAGGCTGGACCTTGGTGACACGACCCAGGGGCATGGTGACTCCCGGGCACCTGAACAGGGCTGGGGTTCCCAGGGGTCGCACGCACCCCCGGCTGGAGCAGAGGCCGATTCTCCTGGAAGACCCAGGCTTCCCACAGACTGAGATAAACCAAACGCACACACAGTCCCCACCCAACCACCAAAGGCGCAAGGAACTGGCTGCACGGGTGAGGGCAGGACGGGAGAACCACGGGCCTCTGGCCCCGGGCACCGAGACGTTGCCAGAACGACAACCGCTCTTTTCTACAGAATTCACGTTTTCCCTGATACAGAGTTCTCCAAGAGACCAGGCAGGCTTGGGAAAGGCCACCCAGAGCTTTCAGAAGTGGTGCTGGTGCCCACGAGCTCCAAGGCCATCTCGGCGAGCGCCACCCTCCGCATGCGTCTTTTAGGGGCCCTGGTAACCGGCTGCTAGGTCAAAGGGGTTGGCCTAGATTTTGACTTTTCTGACTTGAAAGCATCAAGCCACAGCTAGAGCTTGGGAGGTCCGACGAAGCTGGTCCCCGGGGCACCCACGTCCCAGTGACTTGTTCTAACCACAAGCTTGGGTCGGTCACTCTGGCGCCAGGCTGCGGAAGACTGTACCATCTGTTTGGGGAGTGGACACCCTCGCTTGCTTGACAGTGAGCCCGCGTGGCGAGGAACGGAGGCTCCCAGCCCCCGCAGCCAGGACGGAGTCCCGCTGCCGCCAGTCATGCGAGCTTGCAGGCTGATCCCTCCCCTTCCCCAGGTGAGTCGCTAGGAGACCCCGGCTCCGAACTTGACTGTAACCCTACGCAAGGCACCCAGGGAGGCTGCCCCCAGACGCCTGACCCACAGGCCCCCCAAGACCCCAAGCACGTTCTGTTGGAAGACAGGAAGCCTGCGGCAGCGAATACACTTACCAAGTAATCGTCTGGCCGGATCCCGAAGAGCTCCCGGAAGTAGCGGAAGGCGACAGGTGCATAGGTCTTGAAGCGGAAGTCCTGGAAGTGGTGGGCAGGGGTGAGGTTGCTGCCTTCACTGCGGAGGAAGAACGGGAGAAGTCTGTGAGGCGGGTGGGCTATGCACCTCTCCCCCACTCCCACCACGGCCCCTCCTACTGCCTCTAGCAGATCAGCTCCAAGGCTTCCGTGAAACAGCCCAATCCCACAAGCAACATGGGGCTCCTGATGGGACCGTCCCCCAGTAGCCACCCTCCCTGCTCTCATTAACGACAGGGCCCACAGTGTTGGCCAGGGGAACATGGCCGCCAACAGTGAGACCACGCCGCCCGGCCTCTCCTGCAGCTAGGTGTGGTCATGTGACTGCACTCAGCCGATGAGACATGAGTGGAGCAGGAACGCTGTGTTTATGTCCTAAATGGAAGGGCTGTGTTGTTCTCCTTCTCCTTCTCGTTCCTCCTGTGGCTGGAATGAAGCCGTGATGGCAGGGGCCTGAGCAGCCACCTGGGACCACTGGCCACAGAGCTGTATACTGAGAATGCTGGTGTCAGGTGACCAGAAGGAACCCAGGACTCCAACACCAAGGTGCCTCCTGACCAGCCCTGCACTGCCTACTGGCATTTGTGGATTGGAGGAGAGCTAACCCTCAATCTTTCCTGCTTTTAAACTGCCTTTACATTAGGTCTCTGATTCAGCAGCAAATGAATATCCTGAATGACAGAGGGCCAGGGCTCAAGGGAGCTGTTTCCAGCACAGAAGGGCGCTCAGGACAGGCCGCTCCACCTAGGAGCCGTGCACGTGCCAGGCGAGCCCTGAGGCTCCTACCTGGGGAAGAAGATGCTCTCCACCACGTAGAAGTCCTGCATGAGCACATCCCGCTCGGGCTTGGAACTCAAGTGGCCCACGGTGTAGCCGATGCCCAGCTGGATGGCGCCCTTCAGGGTGGAGGAGGTGGTCTGCAGGGAGACCAGAGCGTCACCCCCAGGCTGCTCCCGGCCCCACCCTGTACCCCCTGCGCGCACCCCAGGGGGTGGAGTCTGTGTTCAGTTGCAGCTTGGGACCCGTCACCTCCCAATACCCCACCCTGGCCCCCGGGACGCCCGTCCTATAGCTGCTGAACTGTGGACACTGGGCTGGGAGGTGGGGTCACCCTCCCTTGCGCCACACAGCCGGTACAGGGCTCGGCCATGACTTCCACCCCGTTTCACTCAGCCCTCCAGTCCTGTTGGCTAGCGAGGTTCTAGAAGGTTCTCACAGTATGAAATAGCTCCAACTTAGCAAGGGTCAATTCACTGTCAGGGTTTCTTTTTAGGGGTATCGTTCACAACGTGATGCCCAGATCACTTTCATGTCTGCAGACACAGGTTCCTGCTAGCTGCTTTCTATGTAATACATGTGGTCACACTAGGCAACCCACACGGCTGCTCAGTGCCTCAGTTTCCCCACCTGTGGACAGGGATGGGCACAATGGTTCTGGCCCTCTTGGGGATGTGGTGTCAGCAGCTGTTAACAATTATTTTTACTTAATTTTTTATATTTTTGAGGCAGAGTCTTGCTCTGTCACCCACGCTGGAGTGCAATGGCGCGATCTCGGCTCACTGCAACCTCCGCTCCCGGATTCAAGCAATTCTCCTGCCTCAGCCTCACGAGTAGCTGGGATTACAGGTGTGCGCCACCACGCCTGAATGTTTGTATTTTTAGTAGAGACGAGTTTCACCATGTTGGCCAGGCTGTTCTTGAGCTCCTGACCTCGGCTGATCCCCTTGCCTTGGCCTCCCAAAGTGCTGGGACTCCCGGCGTGAGCCACCGCACTCAGCCACCTGCTGATACTTTATCATCGGCATCATTGGCGTTATTCTCGCTGTGCGCTCTCAGCGCCCTGTCCGCGTCAGCCCTGGGAAGCCACCTCAGCCCTCCAATCTCTAATTCAGGTCTCCTGTGCTCCCGTCGCGAGTGCGAGGCAGCAGGGAGGATGGTCGGCAGTTGGCGCTGCCCAGGTTCGGCCGGCCTCCCTCCTAAGTCACACTCCAGGTGTGGCCTGCACGGTCAACTCCTCAAGATGCCACGGACACAACAGATGTGTGCCCGGAGGTGACATACAAATGGCCAAGCCCGCAAAGACGCTCCATGTCACCGGTGGGGCACCAAGGAAAGCAAATCAAACCACGGACGGGCTGTGCACCGTGGCTCCCCGGGAGGCTGGGCTGGGAGGATCGTCTGAGCCTGGGAGTTTGAGACCAGCCTGGGCAACATGGCAAAAGCCCATTTCTACAAGCAAACCAAAACACGAACACCATGAAGAGACACCACCTCACACCCGCGAGGACACCAGAATCAGAGACAACCACCCCAAGTGCTGGTGACGACGTGGGGAGCCGGGACCTCGGGCAGCGCTGCCGGGACTGGAAATCGGAGCAACTGTTGTGCAGACTGTCTGGGAGGTTCTCAAAGGGAGACACGGAGTTACAGATGCCTCGGCAATTCCACTCCTGGGTGTCTGCCCAAGACCGACCAACACGTTTCCACACAGACGCGCACACGTGTCCTCAGCAGTACAGTCCACAACAGCCAGGCGTGTGAATCACCGCAGCGTCCAAGACGCAGCGAAGGGCAGGCGCCGCAAGGGCCCGCATGGGCCCCCACGAGCCAGAACACGACTCGGCCGTGAACAGGAGTAGGCTGTGACGTGGGCCCCAGAGCCACTGAACCCTGAGGATGCCATGCTCAGTGAGACGCCAGACGCAGAAAGTCACACGGCGTGTAATTCCGCTTCTACGAAAGGTCCGGGACAGGCCGCCCATCCACAGAGGCGGGAAAGGGATGCGTGCATGCCAGGGCTGGGAGTGGGGATGGGGAGTGACTGCTAATGGGGATAGGGCTATTTGAGCTGACGGAATGTTCTGGAATTAGAGGTGATGGCTGCACAACTCTGCAAATGTACTAAAAGTCATGTACTGAACACTTTAAAGGGTGAATTTTACAGTGTGTGAATCACATCTCAGTAAAGCGAGTATTTTTTTAAACAGACAGGACCTAGGCGTGGGTGAGAACAGAGTGGGGGTCAGACTTCCTGCCAACACGGTGTGAGCCAGGCCACCCCCGAGCATCCCTCACCAGGGCTGAGAGCCCAGGCACTGCTAAGGTTCCCGAGACTCAGAGCCAGGCAGGGGTTGCAGCCAGGCTGAGCCACAAAGCACGCTGTCTGGCCGCCGGGCAAGGACAGCAAACACTGGGGCGTCACCCAGGTCTGAGGACTCCAGAATCTGTCCCTGGGCAGACCCTGATGTGTGTCAGGGTGATGGACCCCATCCGTGGTACCCGTGGGAACCCCCTCCCCTCTGCTCCCTCCTGCTCCCCCCAGCCAGCTAAGGGGAGCCGAGGAACCTTCTTGTAGGTGGTTTCGCCGGATGCGTCCACACCTCGATGGCCCAACTTCTTCCCATGGCCAGGGCCCGGCTGTGCCGTCATGGACAGGGCCTGGGCAGAGGAAGCAGGAAGTGTTAACTTCATGAGGAACACCCCCACTGGAGCAGGGCACGCTCTGAAACCCTGGGAAGAAAGGGTTTAGTTGCTGGGCCCAGCAGGGGCGCACAGGGCAGGGGCAGGTCCGGGCAACTCTGGGGCGCAGCAGGAGACACCTCACTTGCAGGCACCTAACGGGCTGGCTGGGGTCCCTCAGTGTCCCATGCTGGACACCCAGAAGCGCTCACTCTGAGAGGGAGACCTCTGGCTCCTCCAGAAGGGCAGGAGGACTGGGCGGCCCCAGCCCCTAACTTCAGGGTCTCTCCCAGGTGCTGTGGACACTGAGGCCAGACTGCTTTCTGGGGTGGGGCTGCCCTGGTACTGCAGGGTGCTGAGCAGCACTCTGGCCTCCACCTGCTCCATGCTGAGAGCACCCCCAGCTGTGACAACCACAGATGTCCCACCGCCCAGTGTCCCCACGGGACAGGACAGCCTAGTGAGCCCCCTAGGCTGGAAGACTGAGAAGAGCATCTGGTCCCTGAGGGAGACGGTCAGGGTCAGGCCGGCTCCTGCAGGCTGCCGGGCAGCACAGGCATCTTAGCAGATGGTGTGAGCCACCTACCCTGGGGGCCTCAGCCTGCTGCCCTCAAGGGAGGATGTGAGGAGGGGCCATGGAAGTCTGAAGGGACACAGAGGCCAGCCAGGGGGAACGGCCCTGCCAGGCACCAACACTTAAGGAGTGCCACTGTGTTTCCCTGGAGAGCTCAGGGGCCCTACACTGGCCAGCACCCCCACTGCTCCCCTCGGCCAGACCCCATCCCACCGCCATCGGCCCCAGTGACGCTCCAGCAGCCCTGACCCCTGCCGTGCCCACCCCTGGCAGCTGATGCTGCTCAGCCATGTTTGGTGCATTCTCCCAGGCAGCCGCCAGGGGGCAGGCTTTCCCCAGGAACGTATCCAGCCACCTGTGCCGCCCTCCCTGATGCCCCCACGCATGGGGTACTCCGAGGAAGGATTCCAGGGTCCCAGACCAGGTAGACAAAGTCTGAACGGCTCAGGGTATGGACACAGGGCCCAAGGGCAGCCCAGGCACGACAACTGCCCTGGGGACCATTCCTGGGAACGGGACTCGGGAACAGGTACCCTGCGGGCTGCATGTGGGGAGACGCAGCAGCTAGGGCGCCCTCGGGGAACGGCCCACACCACCCACGCACACAGGGGCTGGGAAGAAGGCCACTCCATGCCACGGGGCTGGCAGAAGCTGCTAAGGCAGGACCACTGTGCAGAGAGCTCTCCGGAGGAGACAGGCAGCAATGACAAGACGGGGAAGGGACAGTGCATACGCCACCGCCACCGAGTGACTCACAGACGCTCAGGGCGTGGGTGGAGCTGGGAGCCTCGGGCGTTGCCCTCTGGGCAGCGTCTGACCCTCCGGCCTGCTCCTCCATTCCTGCCCCCAGTCCCCCAGAGCTGCTCTCTCCTCCCCCACCCATCCCCCAGAGTCCTGGCCCCACGTGACCTGTAACCCAGACGAGCCCTTCCTGCCCCTGCAGCCCTGACCAGCAGCCCCACCACTGGGGGCGCGGCCCCTCAGATGCAGGGCCCTCCTCCATCGCAGAATTTCACCCTGACTACTCAAGACTTGGTTGGCGTGGATCCTGTGTCCATCCGCCTGTGGACACTGGATGGCGTCTGGGGCCTGAGAGGTGCAGGGAGCCCCCCAGGCCACACAGCTTCTCTGTGGGTAGGGAGGAAGTGGGTCAGGGTGGGGACCCCAGGCCCTCCGTCCCCTCCAGACACTCACCTCTGTCGGGGCTGCCTTCTTCTGAGCCAAACCTGCAGGAGACACAAGCCAGATATCAGACCTGGGAGCCCCGGGCCCAGCCCCCGGCCCACCTTCTGGCCCCCCAGGCCTAACGTGTGTAACTCCGCATGGGGCCTGTCTCAAGGGTACACAGTCAGGAAGATGCAGACTGAGTGTGCTGGGAGGGATGTGATGAGGCTGGGGGCCGCTGGGGCCTGCCACGGTCACCCTGGTCAGGGCCACTGGGGCCTACAGTAGGGGAGAGGCTTTGCAGCCTCAGGGAGGTGAGCGGCTGGCAACACCCAGGCTCCGCACCCACCAGAGGGCCTGGGGCTTGGACCTGGCTGGAGGACAGGGGAAGTGGGGAGCAAACCTCCCCCGCCCTGATCCCTTCACGCCCACACATCAGGTTCTGAGCAGTCACTGACCAGGCAGCTCTGAACTGACCAAGCCCCGCTTCCCCGGAGGCAGGCACCAGGAGAGGCTCGGTCATGGGGAAATCAGGTGCCAGCTCGGGAGAGGGGGCGAGGGCAGGCTGGAGTTGGGGAGGGCCCAGCCCCTGAGCGGCTGCAGTCAGTGGGAGCTGGCTAGAGGTCCCCAGGGCTGGTGCCCAACCTGCCTGTCTCCAGGGAGAGATTTGTGGAAGGATAAGGGAGGCTGTGAGGAGCGCCCAGCCCTGCCCTGGCTCCTGGGCCCACAGCTTCCAGTCAGTGCCTGCAGCGGGGTGCAGGACAAAGCTCCAGAGAGGACGACGGGGGCCTGCCGGGGTGAGCCACCGCCCAGGCCCTGGCAGAGCCGGGAGCGCCTCCGTCCACGCAAGGAGGCTGGGATGAGGGGCAGGCGAGACTTGGCATCTGGGACCCAGGACCATGTCCCTAACCCTGGGGCTCCCGGCAGCAGGGCCCCGGAGTCCTCATCTGGACAGTGGGCTTCCATGGAGAGTCTTCTGCTCAGAGTTGTGGTGGGCAGAACACGCGTCCCCAGGACTCGCCTGCCTTGATCGTGAAACAGACTATAGCTGTGATAAGGGCCCTGAGACCGGCGGGCGGAGGGGGGTGATCCTGGGGGACCCGGGCCCCGATGTCCTCACAGGGTCCTCACGAGAGGAGGGGGGAGAGTCAGAGAGAGACTGGAAGAGGCTCTGAGGTGGCTGTGAAGGGGGAGGATGGGCCCTGGGCCAACGGACAGACGGGCACAGGCACCCCTAGGCCCCGGGAGAGATGGAAATGGAAATTCTCCCCTGCAGCCTCTGGTGGGACCAGCCCTGTCCCACAGCTTGACTTTAGCCTGGTGAGGCCCCATTATGAGGTCGGACGCCCGCCCCAGGGCCCTGAGGTAGGAGGCGATCTCGGTGACTGCAGGGAACGCACACCCCGGCATCCACCACGTGGGACGGGGCCAGACCTGGTTTCACCCTCAAGGGGCTCACAGTCAGCAGAGGTTGGCACATGGCCAGGTGCTTGATGTGGGGTGACAGGTAGGGTGCGGATCAGCAAGAGAGGCTTCCTGGACAGGTCGTGTCTGGGCTCAGTGCAGAACAAAGGCGCAGTGGGGCGCGGGAGGGAGTTCCAGGCCCAGGGAACAGCAGCGGCACGAAGGTCACGAGGGGCTGAGGCAGCGGCGCTGCTGCGCGGGTCACAAGGCACCCTCCAGGCTCACGTGAAGGCAGCCGGCGAAGGGGAGGACTCCTGCGAGATTCCGATGCTGGCACCACCCAGGGCCCAGGGCAGAGACACAAATTCTTTTCAGTAACACAGTGATGGGGGCCCGGTGCTGCCAGCCTCTTCTCACTCTATTCTCCCCTCTTAGAGGAGGCTGAGGGTCGGGAGGTGAGGCTGACGGAAGTCTTCCAGCTGGGGCGCGGGGGCAGGCCCTCACATGGGCTTATTGGAAGCCCGCATGCCCTGCCCCCAAGGCGCAACCCTCTGGCCGGCTCCCTGCTCTGCGCTGGGCAGCAGTGAGCCGGAACTTGTGGGGCCCTGGCTTCCAGGCCAGCCGAGGTGAGCAGGGGAGCCCAGGACCCATGAGGGGCCAACTGGGTGAGGCTCAGGGAGGTGCAGACAGGTGAGGAGGTGGGTGCGGAGTCTGAAAGGGTGGAGGACCGCCGAGTGTGGACGCGGGAGAGAGGACGGGAGAATTTCCCCAAGAGACAAGGAGTCTTTCCAAGCCAACACCTTAGAGTCAGCAGAGAGCACAGAGAGGGAGGGAGTCCCTGGTTTAAGACTCGGAAGGTGATGCACAGACGGAGGCGCTGACCCACCCCAGGTCACACAGAAGGGGAGGCAAAGTCAAGCCCCGGCCTGGGTTGCCTATGCCCTGCCCTCTCAGCCCTGCCAGTGCCCTGGCCCCCATGGGCACTGCACTGCTCTCGGTGGGTGCGCGGGAGGCCCACATGCGCGTCCCCCGGTGACTGCCCTGCTGTCCGAAACACGTCTCCACTGGCACTTTGAAGCCAACTGAACACAGCTGGGTGGGGCCCACAGCTTTGCTCTGCACCTGGGTCGGAACCGCCAGAGACACAGTGAAGGCACAGGGTGGCAAACTCTGCGGGGTCAGGCCTGGGGGCAGGCACAGGCCGGGGAGGGAGCCTCAACTGAGACTCGGGTAAGGCCTGTGGCCACGGTCAGTCCCCATGCCTGCCTGGGGGTTCCGGATTGGGCAGTGTGCCCCCACATTCACGTCCCTCAAAGAACCTCAGAAGGCAACCTTATTTAGAAAGAGAGTGCTGACGTCATTGGGTAAGATGAGGTCGTGCTGGAGTGGGGCGGGGCCCAGATCCGTCTCGGCTGCTGTCCTTATAAGAAGCCCCGCAGAGAGGCCAAGACGCCTGGGGATGGAGGTGGGGCAGGAACCTCTCCTCCAGGCCCAGAAACGCCAGCTAAGGATGCCTGGGGGCACGAGGAGCAGAGGAGGCGTGGAGAGAGCTTCTCCCCGGTTGGAGGGCGCAGCCCTGCCCATACCGGGAGCTGGGCTCCGAGCCTCAAGAGCCAGGCCAGAACAAACGCCTGTTCACGGCCTGCTGCTCTGCGCCCCCAGTCCCTGGGACTCTGGGCAGCCCAGGCCCTGCCCCGACTCTCTAGTGAGGATTCAGCCCGGGGTGGGACAGATGTACTTCTCGAGGCAGCTGGAACAGTGGAAGGGTCCCCGCCTTGGGCCACCTGGGCTCCCTGCAGGGCTGGGCAGGCACGGACGGGGTGGGGGGCCTGGAGGGGTCTGCAGACCAACCTGCTCACCGCAGGGGCTGGAGGGAGGGGGCGGGTCAGGGGCGGAGCGAGTGAGGTGACTCAGGGAGCTGCCTCTCTGTCCTTCCGAGGACAGGGCCGGTCGCCCCCAGGTCTCTGACAGGCCATGAGGGCCACTCCGGGCTGGGGGCCGGAAGGTGCTGGAGGCTGACGTGATGTTTGGGTTGGCGGCCCAGAGCAGAACAATTCACAGTTTAGCGTCCAGGGTGTGGGGGAAGGAAAGGAGAGGGCAGGAAGCCAGCAGCGGGCAGGGCGGCCATTCCAGACCTCACCGGGCCGCCACAGTCCTGACTCTACTCCCGAAACCGCCCCCTGAGCCCCCCATGCCCACTGGAGCGACTCAGCTGTTTTCCTTGGTGGCCGGGTTGCTGGGCAGTCACGGCGCTTGGGTGGAGGAAGGCGCCCTGGGTCCGCCCTGCCCAGACTGTCCCAGGCTCCCTACTGGCCCAGGACCAAAGGGAGGCAGTGAGGCCCTCCCAACCCGGCTCTGCCGACCTCACCAGGAACCTCACGGTCACCTGTGTTGTGTCTGGGCCCTCTGCCTCAGTTTCCCTCCTTGGCTCCACGTCTTCATCTGCCCGACTCGCCTGAGCTGGCTGACAATGGGGAAAGAAGAGGGGTGGCTGGCTCGGGCCCTGCTGGGAACGTCTGTGCACTGGGGGCCTGGGAGGTTAAGGGACCAGACTGAAGCCCCAGGTAGGGGCAGGGCAGGAGGGGGAGGCGGAGGCACTGGGTTGGGGGACCTGGGGAAAATGCGGTGCTCCCAGGGCAGACAGCAGGGGCCGGCAAGGAGAGGCCAGAGCCGAGTATCCCATGGAGGAGAGGGGACCCGGGGAGAGGCAGAGTCTTGGAGCCACTGCCCGGCCTGGGTGTGGGCAGTTGGGCACCATCTTTGCCCCATCCCTGCTTCCTGTGAGGCCCACTCTGGGCACAGAGCCTGCCGTGACCCCCATCAGGGGCCACCATGACGTCGAGCGCTGCTCGGCCTGAGATGTGACTAATTATCTGCTGAATGAACCACCCCGTTTTCGAGGAAATTAGATTTTAAAAATAGTCGGGGGAGGAAAGGCGAGCTCAGCTGTGGAGCCGGGAGGTGGGCCCCTCAGCCCACGGCTGCCAGGGGGACGGGCGGGCAGGGGCACCTTGGGCGTGTTGGTCAGGGTGGGGGGATAGCCAGGGTTTCATCTCTCCCTCTCCCCACTCTCGAGGGGCAGCAAGGCCCCTGGGCCTCCACGCCAGCCTCTGCTGCAGCCGCCCACTGTGTGGCCTCAGATGAGTCCTGCATGTCTCTGAGCGGTTTGCTCCGCCCGGGCTGAGGGCCTCCTCTCCCGGCCCCATCACAGGACTTGGCGGCGCCCCGGGACTTCTCTCTCAGCCTCGGTCTCTTTGCCTGCAAAGTGCGGCTAAAGCCAGCACGGACCCTTGAGGCACTGCCACTCTCCATGAGGCCACACGGCCACCTCTGCACCCGGCACTGGGTCACAGGCCACCTCTGTACCCGGCACCTGGCCACCTCTGCACCTGACACACGGCCACCTCTGCACCCGGCACGGGGCCACAAGGCCACCTCTGCGCCCGGCACACGGCCACCTCTGCACCCGACACACGGCCACCTCTGCACCCGACACAGGGCCACAAGGCCACCTCTGCACCCGGCCCAGGGCCACAAGGCCACCTCTGCACCCAGCACACAGCCACAAGGCCACCTCTGCACCCGACATACGGCCACAAGGCCACCTCTGCACCTGGCTACAGTCACCTCTGCACCTGGCATGGGGCCACACAACCAC